ATGAAACTTGAAGACTTGATCATGACATTGAGGATTGAGGAGGACAATAGAATCTCTGAAAAGAAAGTTGACAATCATTCCATGGAGTCAAAGGCACATATGATTGAAGAGGGACATAAAACCAACAAGAAAAGGAAGTATGTTGGCCAACAAGGGGCCAAGGGTGTTGATTCCAAAAAGTTCAAAGGCAATTACTTTCTATGCAATAAACCAGGACATGGTACAAAGAATTGTCAAAGTCGTAAAGTACAAGTGAACCACAAGAGGAAGATTGGCCAAGCCAATATAACCGAGGTAGAAAAACTTTCTCAAAATATTTCTAACATTAATTTTTTTGTTGTAGTATCTGAAGTGAACTTGGTGGGTAATACCAAGGAATGGTGGGTGGACATCGAGGCCACTAGACACATATGTTCGGATAAGCAGATGTTCTCTTCATATGAAATAATTAATGGTGGAGAACAACTCTACATGAAAAATTCCTCTACTTCCAAAGTTGAAGGAAAAGGAAAGGTTATATTGAAGATGACTTCCGAAAAAGAACTTACTCTCAATGATGTGTTACATGTTCAAGAAATTCAAAAAAATCTTGTGTCTAGATCGTTGTTGAGTAAGAAGGGTTTTAGATTGGTTTTTGAGTCGGACAAATTTGTACTCACCAAGAGTGAGATTTTTGTAGGCAAGGGATATATGAGCGAGGAGCTATTTAAGATGAATGTAATGACAATTGTATCGGATTTTAATAAAAAGAACACATCTTTTGCTTATATGCTTGATTCTTCTAATATATGGCATGGTAGATTAGGACATGTTAATTTTGATACTTTGTATAAATTAATGAATTTAGAATTGTTGCCTAAATTCAATATTGATGCAAATCATAAATGTCAGGCATGTGTTGAATCAAGATTAACTAGAGCATCATTTCATAATATTGAAAAAAGTACTGAGCCTCTAGAATTAATTCATAGTGATACATGTGATTTGAAATATGTTCAAACTAGAGGTGAAAAGAAATACTTTGTTACATTTATTGATAATTGCACAAGATATTGTTACGTATATTTGCTAAGGAGTAAAGATGAAGCATTGGAAAAATTTATGCACTATAAGAATGAGGTTGAGAATCAACTTGGCAAAAAGATTAAGGCAATAAGAAGTGATCGAGGTGGTGAATATGGCGCACCTTTCAATCGATTCTGTCAAGAACATAGTATTATTCACCAAACTTCTGCATCTTATACACCTCAGCAAAATGGAGTTGATGAACATAAAAATAGAACATTGAAAGAAACGATGAATGTCATGTTGATTAGTTTGGGATTACCTCAGAACTTGTGGGGGGAAGCTTTGTTTTCAGCAAATTATATTTGAAATAGACTATCCCACAAGAAGTTAGACAAAAACCCTTTATGAATTATGGAAAGGTCAGAGTCCTTCCAACAAATATTTGAAAGTGTGGGGGTGTTTGGCTAAAGTGATGGTTTCTATTCCCAAAAGGATTAAAATAGGACCTAAGACTATTGATTGTATATTTATTGGTTATGAAATAAATAGTAGTGCATATCGTTTTATCGTGCATAAATCTAATATTCTTGATATACATGTCAATACAATCATTGAGTTAAAAGATGCATCATTTTTTGAAAATGTTTTTCCTAATAAAAATGCACGTGATGGGATTTTTCTTAAAAAAATTCATGATACTGCAACTAGTAATATAGACCGTGAGTCTATAAATGAAGAGAGTGAAGAGACACATAAACGCAGTAAGAGAACAAAGACTTCCAAGTCCTATGGTCCAGATTTTCTAACATATTTGTTAGAAAATGACCCTCAAAGCTTCAATGAAGCAATATCCACTCCTGAAGCACCTATGTGAAAAGAAGCTGTAAATAGTGAAATTGAATCCATCATGAAAAATCACACCTGGGAGTTGCTGGATCTTCCTCCTGGGGTGTAAATGGATTTTCAAGAGGAAAATGAAAAGTGATGGGTCAATTGATAAGTACAAGGCTAGACTTGTAGCTAAAAGTTACAAACAAAAGGAAGGTCTTGATTATTTTGATACATATTCTCCTGTCACAAGAATAACATCTATTTGTATGCTCATAGCTATTGCAGCATTGCATAATCTTGAGACACACTAAATGGATGTGAAAATAGCTTTCCAAAATGAGGACTTAAATAAGGAAATTTATATGGACCAACCCGAAGGGTTAATTTCTCCGGGACAAGAGAAGAAGGTGTGTAGATTTGTTAAATCACTTTATGGTTTAAAGCAAGCACCAAAATAATGAGATGAGAAATTTGAAAAGGTAATGATGTCAAATGGTTTCACAATTAATGAATGTGATAAATGTGTTTATGTCAAAGACACAAATGATGGATATGTCATTGTTTGCCTATATGTGGGTAATATGCTTATTTTTAGGTAGTAGTAATAATATTATTACAGCTACCAAGAAAGTGTTGTCCAGTAAGTTTGACATGAAAGATTTGGGTGTTGCAGATGTTATACTAGGAATTAAAATTTCTAAAATATCAGGTGGACTTGTATTATCTCAATCATATTACATTTAGAAAATACTTAAGAAGTTCGACAAAGATGAAAACAACATTACTAGAACACCAATTGATATAAATCTTTATTTTTCTAAAAATACTGGTCAAAGCATATCACAATTGGAATACTCTCGTATTATTGGCAATCTAATGTATGTCATGAACAGCACTAGACCAGATATAGCATACTAAGTTAGTAAATTGAGTAGATATACAAATAATCCGGGAGTAGATCATTGGAAGACAATTATCATGGTTCTTAGATACTTAAGATATATCATGAATTTTGGATTGCACTATACAAGATATCTAGCTGTACTTGAAGGGTATAGTAATGCAAACTGGATATCTGATATGAAGGATACAAAATCCACAAGTGGTTATGTTTTTACACTTGGTGGTATAGCTATATCTTGGAAATCCTCTAAGAAAACATGTATTGCCAGATCCACTATGAAATCTGAATTTATTGCCTTAGATAAAGCAGGAGAGAAATTTGAGTGGCTTCACCAATTTCTAGAGGATATTCCAATATGGCCTAAATCTGTGCCAACAATTTGTATACATTGAGATAGCCAATCTGCAATTAGTAGGGACATAGAGTAACATGCATAATGGTAAGTCTAGACATATACGTCGTAGACATAATACCATTAGAAAATTGCTCTCAAATGGGATTATTTCTATTGATTATATAAAATCAAGGAATAATCTAGTGGATCTGCTTACTAAAGGGTTGACGAGAGGGCAAGTAAATTGTATATCGAGGGGAATAGGACTAAAGCCTATAATAGAAGAGTCACCTTAATGACAACCCAACCTAGTTGACTGGAGATCCCAAGATCTAGGTTCAAAGAGACAACCAAATTATGCATGATTCAAAAGAAGCACTAAGGAGATAATATTTCCTACCTATTCCTATTTTTTATAAACTAGTGTTGCCTGCAGAGTTTATTAGGGTAAGCTATGCTTTTAATGACTCTTATACCTTGAAAAAATTCAAGTGGGATATTAGAGGATATTTCTAATAGGAGTCACCTATATGAGTGTGAAGGGGCCGCTTCTGTGAGAATTTGTAAAGGCTGAATTCTCTAAAACACTCATAAAAACCAGGAGTTATTCAGGGTCAAAATGAACACAATCATAAGGACCCATTGTGTTAGAAAAGAGACTATGTGAAGTCTATTCGATTTGATTTCGATTTGATTTATCAAACAGCTAGATAGTTCAAGACTTCACATTCACTATTTAGCCGATAAGTCTGATGGGCTTTCACTAGGGAAGGTTCAAGGCCAAAAGCTACTTATCTCGATGCACGATTTTTTCAAAGATGTACTCTCTATAGTGTGTCAGCATTATCATTTGCATACTAACAACCAATTTTCCATTCATGTGGGGGATTGTTAGACCAAAACAATTTTTTAAGTGTAAAAAATGAATTTTTGGTCGATTTTGAGTCTAAATTCAAGTGGGACCCGTTTGTTATTTTGAATAAATTTTTGTGGGTTCATATTCTACTTTGTGAGGAGAATAACGTGGTATATTCACTTGCTCAAATCGAGTAAGAAATGAATGAGAAAATAGGTTTCAAAGTGACCCTCTTGAATTATGAAATAAAGGTTATTCAATGTGAGATGTGACACCAATCCCACATTGGTTGAGTAAGAAATTCTACATGGGCATATATAGGCCAAGTTTGCTTTATGGGATTGGGTCCCATGGGGTACCACAATTTTATGATCGGAGCAAGCACCTATATGCCTTCGGTTCAACCACACACACACGAGCACGCCGCCCGCTTGCCTCGCCACGACCTGACCCGACCGGGCTCGGGTATGGGTGTGAGTGTGGACCAAACCCTATTTTTTGGAAATGTGGGCGTGAATTTTTAACCCAAAATTAATTTTTGGTACCTATTGGATCGCACTGGTTCGGATTTGTTACTTCCTTCAAGTCCAAATTGAGTTGTGTCTGTTCATACAGAACAGAACAGTTACAACCCAAGTGGTATCTACTGATTCTGGGTTGTGTCTTTTAGTTTAGTGGTTGTATCCTGGGTTGGAGTGCTCTTGTAAAGATCATTATGTCCTGGGAGGTAGACACTCGGTATTCCATAAGCACCGTGTGTAAGGGCAAAATATATCTTAAGGACATAGTGTCAAACACTAGTCTTGATCTACATCAACTTCAATAACAGTTCCTGTTCTACAACTGGGTTAGTATTTATTTTGGTTTTGACAAACAGTTACACATAACTGTTTGCTGTTACAGTTTCGTAAGACTGCTGTAACTCTTTCGTGTAAAACTAATACTGTGTAACTCTTTTCTTACTGTTTTGTTATACATTACAAGTTTCAAATCAGAAATTTTAATAAGTGATTTTACAATTTGGAACACCAGAAACAAACTGGTTTAAGTGCGCATAGGATATGTAGAAGTCAAGGCATCTTGAGAGTGAGAACTCAACGGCAGTGGCAGAGGACGAGGGAGAAAAATCCGTAAAGAACCCCTCTTTATGGATTGAAGGCAAAGAGTTGGGCACAACTTTGGGACTCAGTGGTTATATGACTGAAGCAGTAGGGAAGAGAGGCGACTGGAAAGATGTCACGACAATTATTAAAGGAGATGGGGGGAGCGGTGGAGTAGGAGGTGGAGACCCCCTCTGGGAGTGGAGAAGTGTCAAGAAACACCCAAGGTTCAAGATCATGGTAGCATATGAAGTCACCTTGAAGAGTATGCTGTAGGGAGAGAGCGCCATAGGATTGACAAGGAAATATTGTTTTGTCGAAAACAATATATAAACATGACCGGAGGATGGTTCCAAGCATCGAAATCCCTCGTGGTAATCACTAATGCCTAAAAATATGCAAGGCAAGCTTTTGGGATTGATGTAATGCAGTTGATAATCCCATAAGAAGGGACAACATAAACACCCAAGCAGTTGAAGCATTGAATAACCCATATTTTTTGCCAAAGAGGGAGAAAAAAGGGACTTTTATTGTGCAGAACGGGAGTTGGAAGATGGTTAATGAGAAATACGGTCATAGAGAAAGCTTCAACCCACAAGTTTAGTGGCATTTGACTGTGACACAATAGAGTGAGTCCTGTCTCAATGACATGTTGGTGTTTCCTTTTAGCCACCCCATTTTGTTGGGGAGTGCGTGGATAGGATAATTGACGAACAATGCCTTTACAAGCCAATAATTTATTAAAAGCGCCATCACTGAGAAAAAATTTAACATGAGCATCAAATATATTCACAATCATTTTCTCAAAATGTACAAATCATGTGAATACTTCAGACTTGTACATGAGAAGATAAAACCATATGTAGCGAGTAGCATCATCCACAAATATCAAATAATAACAAAAATTGGATACATATTGAAATGAATCTTAATAAATGGTTGAGTACACTTAGAGTCACTTAAATTAAAAGGTAAACGACATCCTTTTCTGAGCTAACAACTACCACAAGGATGGTTATTTAAACTACTAGAAAATTCAAACAAAATCAGAGATTGTTGTCGTAACGACTTGAGCGCCCAAAGAGAGGGATGCCCAAGGCATTGATGCCAGACAATAGTGGCTTTTGTAGAGGAAGATGGATGAATGGCCAACAAGGAAAAATTTTTAGTGGGAGGCCCCAAAATCTATGCCCTGTCATCAAAATTTTCCCGGTCTTGCGATCCTTGATAAAGAAATGAGATTGTGAGAATTCCAAAAGAAAAGAATGGTCATCTAGGAGCTAACTGACAGATAATAAATTTTCTTGAATACTGGGACCAATATAACATTATCAAGTTGAAAATCTCATTCATTACATGAAATAATGATGGAGCCTTTGTGGGGCAGGGCTCCTCTGCAATTAAGGTCTAATAGTATACTTTGCTGTTAAATGGAACGATGATGTTTTGGCCAAGACTCTAGCACCCAGCAAATACACAAAATGATGTCGTCCAATTTGTGCCAATTTCAGCCCAAAAACAATATCGTCTGCCAACGTCTTCCATCTGTATAGAACAAAAAACCAAAAAAATAGATTGCTCCTTCCCTCCAAAGTCGACAAACCAGTCCCACCTAAAAACATCCAAAAAACTCTCTGCAGCTTGTAATCACCAACAAAAATTCCAAAGTTTCAATTGCTCTTCTCTCTTTTTGTTTCTCTGTAGTGGTTGATTGGCACTCAACCTCATCTCCTACGATTTCACACTCTCAGGTTATGTTAATATTTTTTCAAAATTTTTTTATGAAATTCCAGTTCATAAAATTCATAATTTTTTTTAAAAATTTCCTATAGAATCGTGATATAATTATAAGACTAGCATCATTCTTTCTACTACATTTTTGCAAGTATATTTGATTGTTTGATATATGAATATTGGTGTTTTAGGCTTTGATGAAACTGAGTTATATAGGCTTTATTACCTAAGATTTTCTTGTTGATAGGGAACATAAAAAATAATGATTTCCTTGTTCCATTTCTAATTAAAAATTTATATCGGCAATTTTTTATCTTATGTTTATTTTGTGTAACTGTTTGGTTATTGTAAGGTACCTAATCTATAGTGGAGATTGAATGTGTTAAGATTGATAAAGCAGACAATACTTCATATATGAGAATGCAATTTGACTCGGAAGAAGATGCTTATAGGTTCTATAACAATTATGGTGCAACTGTGGGATTCAATGTGAGAAAATATTATCACAACAAGAGCTTAGAGGATGGTGTATTAATTTACAGAAAATAAGTTTGTTGCAAACAGGGACAAAGGAGTAAAGATCAAAGGGATTGGAAAATAGCAAAGGCTCGGGCAGAGACTCGAACAAATTTTCCTGCTCACATGTGCATATCCCTCAAGAGAGATATTGAAAAATTTGTTGTTGTTAAATGGGAAGACCAAAACAATCACATTTTGCACTTGGCCGAATGTATGCATATAATGTCATCCCAACGGAAAGTTACTGTAGCTCAAGGCATCAATGTTGATATGGCTGAGTATTGTGGGATATCATTTAAGACGTCCTACGAGCTATTGAGTACGCAAGTAGGTGGGAGAGAAAGCTTAGGATTCACTCATCAACACCAAAAAAATTACGTTCGAAAAAAGAGGCAGCGAGACTTGAAATACAGTAAAGCGGGTAGTTTGTTGTAATATTTCCAAGCAGAAGCAGCTAAGCATCCATCAGTTTATTATGGAGTCCAATTGGATGTTGTAACACCCCGCATTTTCTTTTATATATGTATATAGATATATAGTAAATAATTGTGGTAAAAATGTTATGTGTGTTTGAATTTGGTAGATTGGAAAAATAGAGATTTAAAATGTTAGTGGAAATAAGAGTTGAAATTTGGTTTTAATAAGTAAAAATATGAAATTTTAGGTCCTAAAACTTGTATTAAATAGGTTTGGTGTAGAAATATGTGTTGGAGAGGTTTGGGATGGATTTGGTTGGCTTAGAAATGGATTGGAAATGGAAAAGGGATGAAACAGGACGTGAACAGTGCACAAGAACAGTGCACATGCTGCAACTTTAAGCGTGATTTTGACTTGATGCAGTCAATATCTCTCAAAATGCAAAGCCTAAAAGTTGTAGAGATATTTCTTAGCCTTCCATATCATCTTGAATCATCTCAATCGGAGCTCGAATGAGAGAGTTATGCCCAGATAACGAAGTGATGTCAAAACAGCCCAATTAGCTTGAACAGTGCACTAGCTGCAACTTCAAGCCCGATTTAGACCTTGATGCAGTAAATATCTCTCAAAACTCAAAACATGAAAGTTTTAGAGATCTTTGTTATCATTCCATATCATCTTGAATCATCTCAATCGCAGCTCGGATGAGAGATTTATGCCTAGATAACGAAGTGATGTCAAAATAGTCCAATTAGCTTCGTTTTGCATTTACCGTCTCCATTTGCATCCTAAATCAAAATATAAGAGTAATGAGTACATTTAGTCTTCAAATAAGTATAAAAGGCTTTAAGAATCACCATTTATCACCTTTTATTTGCAAACAACGCAAAACTTCATTAATAGCCGGTTCGGATGGATAAAATAGAAACTTTAGTGTTTCGGGTGTACATTGACTTTAGTTTTGAGATAAATCATAAACATATTTTAGGTTAAAATAACATTAAAATGAATCCAAAACATTAAAAAATCTTAGGGTATTCATATGGATCATATTGGAGATTTTTAGTGGCAAAACCGTAATTTTGGAGAAAACCAAAACAGACTGTGAACAGTGAATTTCAGGGCTGAGGTGTTTTAAACCCCATTTTCATCCCATTTGCCCTCATTTCATTCACTCCACTCTCACCCCACACCTCTTGGAACCCTAGAGAGCATTAGAGATGAAGAAAGAAAGGGAAAAACAAGAGATTTAAGGGTAGATTCAAGATCAAAACTCAAGTTCTTCCTACAAACAAAGGATTCAAGGTAGGAGTTTTCTCTCATTCATTTACATTGAGGCTAGAGTATTTATATATGTATGTTTTGGCTATTAATGGTATATATATATGCTATGGAATTATCCTCTCTTAGACTTATTGCAAAGATTACATATTTTGAAGTATGGTTTAATACCCATGAAATCTCATTTCTAGTTTTAAAACCCTAATTTTTGGAGAGTGATGTATTTCCTTCCTAAATATTTTTTTTATTATGGATTTCAAAACCTTAGTGCTTTGTGTTGGGTAGAAAAATGATGTTATTGTGATCTCATGTATTTTCTTAGTTGGCTGTAAAATTGTTACATGATATATTTTGGAGATTTTGGATAGATGCTTGTAAATTGAGATAAATGTTGGAATTTTATGTTTGGTTGGGTTGTTTGTGATGCACATGAGTGAGAGGTTCTTTGTAAGGATGCTCACCTATTCCCAAGAGGTTCCCATAAGGATGCTTGGGAAACAATGTAGTTATTGGTGAGAGGTTCCATGTAAATAAGCTCATCCATTCTCAAAAGATTGCCAGTAAGGATGCTTGAGAATCAAAGGTGACCTAAAGGGGGGTAGAGGTTACCACAAAGTATTCCACCTATCGAAAGAATTGCTAGGAATTAGTTATGACAATTAATGGTTATTATTTGTATGTGGTGCTCGTTTATTCATTTAAGTAATGTTTTCAAATAAACTTGAGATCCTTTTTAAATATCTCTGCTTTACTTCAAATTATGTATCTATGTTATGTTAAAATTGAGACCGACCATTTTAAATGCTTTTCTAAATCTTGTATGGGTTTGGGAGAATTTTTCTACAGAACTTCGTGCTCACCCCCTTTCGCTAACATTTTTCAGATTACCCGCTTCAGGAGAAGGACCTAAGGGTCGAGGAACCCGCTACTTGGGAGACTCCACTGGACGGGAGTATGGATCCCGAGATGGACGCATAGAGCGACCTCCTTTCCCTTTGTACTAGACTAGGACATTCTTTTAGAATATTGTATAGTCTAACTTCTTTTGTTTATTTCGCTGCGCTTTTTTAATTAATTTTTGAGATGTAATAGTCATGACTTGGGCTTATTCTTTTGGATAATATTGTAAATATTCATGGATGACAAATAAAGTCATGTTTCTTAAGGGATTATATTAGTGCTCTCATGATATAAATGGTTTTAGAATGTAATGCCGTCTAGGGTGTGTTTTGGGGTGCTACAAAGTTGGTATCAGAGCTTAGGTTTTAGGTCTTACATGGGAGCTATAGGTTATGCAATCACTTCTAGAGCTTTAGGATTAGGGT